AGGCAGAGCGATCGGACGCCATGCCTGCTCCAGGTGGAAATCCTGGAGGCCACCTACGTTGAGCTCGCCATAGCGTCCTGCCGGCGGCGGGGGGATAGGCAGCAAGCTCCTCCTCCTATCCTCTCATATCGCCCCATCCTCGTCTTAGCTCCGTCTGCTAGCTCTATATATATATATATATATATATCCGCAAGGGCTTCGTCCCACGCCGCCGGCCCCCTTCCACGGATAATGGGGGATGCAAAAGCTAAAACATCAGGTATCGGCGCCGCCCTGGCCCCGCCGATCTGGTGAGAGGTGCCGCCGAATTTCAGGAATGCGGTGATTCCCATAGGTTTTTGGGCCCTGACCCCGCCGATCTGCGGAGGGGTGATGCCGAATTTCAGACACGTGGCAAATCCCTTGCGTTTTGGCCCCTGGCTCCGCCGTTCTGCGCGAGGGGCGCCGCCGAATTTCAAAAATGTTGCCCCGTGTGTTTTTGGACCCTGGCTCCGCCGATTCGCGCCAGGGGCGGCGCCGAATTTCAGAAACGCTGCAAATACGCTGCGTTTTTTGGGGGGCCCTGACCCCGCCGATCTGCGCGAGGGGCGCCGCCGCATTTCGCAGACACGTTGCAAATCCCTTGCGCTTTTGGGCCCTGACCCCGCTGATTTGCGCAAGGGGCGCCGCCGAATTTCAAACATGTCGCGCGCCTTCTGCGCCTTTGGACCCTGGCCCCGCCGTTCTGCGCGAGGGGTGCCGCCGACATCTTGGACTGTAGAAAACCCCGTATGATTTTGGGGCCCTGGCCCCGCCGATCTGCGCCGAATTTCAAACGCGCAGCAAATCTCATGCGCGCTCGGCCCCTGCCCGCGTTGATTCGCGCGAGGGGCGCCGCCGAATGTCAAACGCGTTGCAACCCCCATGTGTTTTTTGACCCATGGCCCCGTCGATCTGTTGGAGGGGCGCAGCTGAAGTTCGGACACGCGGCAGGCCCCTTGCGTTCGACGCGCTTGCCCCCCCCCCCCCCCCCTCGCGCGTTCATCCACAGGGAACAGCAAGCAGCAATAAGCAAAACTGCAACCGTGAAAGCAGGGAGCTGCAACTGGCACAGGGGGCAGCACATTCCCGCCCCACAGCCAGGTGGCCCCGCAAGCTAGGGGGCCGGCGGATATCCCACCCAAGTCCCTGCCTGCCCAGCCCCGCCAGATATGCAGGGGTCGGCGTCGCTGTCGCCGCCTTCTGCGCAATCGCAGTCACCGCTGCCGCCCTCGCAATCATTGATGGCATCGCCGCCGTCGCCCCCGTCGTCGCCGTCGACGCCAGCGCGTGTTGGGCTGCTGCAAACGCGATTCCCTCCTACACTTGGTCGTCCGACTCCTGTCCAGAACTCCTCTTGTTCCTTCTCTATTCCTGCTACTGCGCCCCCCTGCTCCTCCTATGTTTCTTATGTGTACTTCACCCCCTATCCTGATTGAATTGCGCCTGTCCCAACACCTGCTGCTGCTCATCTCACTATCTCCTCGCCCCCTAGCTTGCCGCGAAGAAAAGGCGGGGCGGGCGGTCCTGCGCCCAGCGCTCTACAGGACCAGGCCCAACGGAAGGGAGGCGCAACCTGGGCCTCGGGGCTCCGGCCCTTGCGCGCGAAGTGCCACCCCCGGGGCTCGCACCTTGTTTTTTTTCTCAAGGAAAGTCTCCCTGCTCAAACTGTGCCCCTGCCCCCTGGGCTACAACAACAACGGCTCCCGCCTGAGACACCCTCGATTTTTACTCATCAAGCTCCCCCTTCTGCCCCCCCCCCCCCCCCTCCCCCCTCGATCCTTCCGCTTCTCGCCCCCCCCCCCCCCCCTAGCCACTACTCCTGTTCCTCGCTCCCCCCCCCCCGCCCCCGTCCCATGGCCTCCTCAAACTAGCTTATCCTTCTCCTCCTCCTCCTCCTCCCCCCCCCCCCCCTCTGGCCCCCCCTGCTATAGCTCCTCCTCCACCTTCTCCTTCTCCTTCTCATTTTCCTCGCCCTCATCCCCTCCAAGCTCGCCCTGGCTCCTCCCAGGTCCTCCTCCTTCTCCTCCATCTCTCTCTCTCCTCTCTCTATGTTGTTCTCTCTCTCTCTCTCTCTCTCTCTCTCTCTCTCTCTCTCTCTCTCTCTCTCTCTCTATCTCTCTCTCCCTCTCTCTCCATCTTGTTTTGTTCTCTCTCTCTCTCTCTCATCTCTCTCTCTCTCTCTCTCTCTCTCTCTCTCTCTCTCTCTCTCCCTCTCTCTCTCTATCCCTCTTTCTCTCTCTCTCTCTCTCTATCCCTCACTCTCTCTCTCTCCTCTCTCTCTCTTCTCTCTCCTCTCTCTTCTCTCTCCTCTCTCTCTCTCTCTCTCTCTCACTCTCTCCCTCTCTCTCTCTCTATCTCTCTCTCCTCTCTCTCTCTCTCTCTCTCTCTCTCCTCTCTCTCTCTCTCTCTCTCTCTCTCTCTCTCTCTCTCTCCTCTCTCTCTCTCTCTCTCTCTCTCTCTCTCTCGCTCTCTCTCTCTCTCTCTCTCTCTCTCTCTCTCTCTCTCTCTCTCTCTCTCTCTCTCTCTCTCTCTCTCTCTCTCTCTCTCTCTCCTCCCTTATTGCTCCGCGCCCGCCCCGCCCTTGCCCCTCGCCCACCCCCCACATTGCCCACCTCCTCTCGTCGTCTGCCCCGCCCGTCATCCTCCCAATTCCCCCTCCCTATCGTCCAAGCTAGTTGCTCACGGCAACTCCTGGCCCCTCCTCGCCATCATTCTATAGATGGTTTCTTTGGCCCCCGCCCCCCCTCCCCCCCCCCCTCAGATTTTTCTGATGATTGGGGGCCCCGTGGGCCCCCTCCACGACACGGGGCGCCCATCGGTGGCCTTGGATTCCCGACGCTGACCCTTGGTTCCTTAGCTTCTCGACGCTGATGCCCAGGAAATGCCCCTCGGCGCCCTCGAGTGTCGCTGGAAGCCCCTGGCCCCAGGGCCACTCACATGTCCCTGGATGCCCCTGGATCGACGCCCCTCGAGCGCCCTTGGATGCATCCCTGGGCGCCCCAAGATGCCCCGAGGACGAGGATGACAGGAGCTAGGGAAAACAGGGTCGGGCAAGAAGGGCGAGGATAGGAGGAGGAGGAGGAGAAATAACTAATTAGAGGAGGAGGAGTAGGAAGAGAAGCAGAAAGAGGAGGATAAGCGGATTTGGGGCCAGGGCGGATTAATGAGGAGGGTATCTGGAGGAGGAGGCAGCACAGAGGGGACTGAGGAAGAGCAGGAGGAGCAGCAGCAGCAGGAGGAGCAACAGGAGGACCAGGGGGGGATGATCCCAGAAGGCGGAGCGGCGAACGATGGCAGGACGTCCGCTTCGGGGCGAGCGGCCCACCTCATCGAACGGCCGTTGGCGCCCTAACCCTGCGTGAAAATGGGCGCGCCGTCGAGGTCCTTGAGATGGCTCCATTGTCTTATGTTGTTGATTGTTTTGTTTGTTCCTGCGTGTGTGTGTGTGTGTGTGTGTGGGGGGGGGGGGGGGGTATATGCGGGGCATGCCCCCGCCGCGCTGGAACCTCAAGCCCTTCGCGACGCGGCCTGCCGTGCCCCCGGCAGGCGCCATTGCCCGCTGCCTGTCGGCCGTTGTGGCCACGCAGGCGCTCAGATCGACGCGGATGGGCGACAATGAGACATCCTCTTGTCCTGCTGCTTCTCCTCATCTTTCGTCCTCCTTAGCTTCTCCTCCTGCTCCTCCCCCTGCTGCCCTGCCCCTCGCCCCATTGCCGCCATTCTTATAGTTCCTCCCTCTCTTGGCTCCGAGGCGCCCCCTCTCCCGAGGGCTTCGCCCCGCCCCGCTCTGAATGGCCATCTCCAGGATGGCCAGAGCGAGGGGGGCGAAGGCCTCGATCGCAGGGCCCCCCAGAGCAGGGAGGATAAGAAACACAACTAGAATAGCGCAGCGCGACCAGCTGCGCGAGCGAGGGCGGGCAGGAAGCAGGAACAGAGGATAGGACGAGGAGAAGGCGGATGTTCACGTAGGTGAGGATCTAGGGGGAGGTTGAGGTGGAGGTGGAAGCAGGTGGAAAGGGTGTGAGGAGGTGGAGATAGGAGGGGCTGGCCTAGCTCACCGCTCAGCTGGCGCCGACCGCGTCGCCCTGGTCTGGTTCGCCGACGTCGCTGTCGACCAGCACGGGGTCGCCGGGGTCGCCAGGGACCGTGTCGTCGTCGCCGACCGTGTCTTCGTCTCTCGACATCTTCTCGTCTTCGCCCTGGCCGAGCTCGCTGTCGAAGAAGCGCGACCCCTGCCTCTGGAGTCGGCTGGCTGGCTTCTGGCCGGCGTTCTCCGCTGGCGATGCTGCTGGTGCAACGTAGCTGCCTCCGTCGGATGCCTGCGCTGGTTCTGCTGGCACTGCTGCTGAGATGCCTTCGTCGGGTGCCTCTGCTGGCGCCGCTGGCGCCGCTGACTCTGGCACGGTCTCGGCTTCGTTCCACCGGCCTGCGCCGCCGTCGCCGTCGCCGCCCTTCCCCTCGGAGCCGCTGCCCGTGGCCTTGGCGTCCTCCCAGTCGGGGAGCTTGCTCTGGATGCCGTCCTTCTGCGCGTCGTACACGTTGGCCTCCTTCATGAGCTCTACCAGCTTGCCCGCCGCATAGCTTATCACCGTCGTGAGCGAGCCGTCGCCAGGCAGCTGCTTGCTAGTCGAAAGGATGGACCACTTCTGGCCCGTGGTGTTCCTGCGCAGTCCCAGGGGGGCCTATAATCGTTCTGCGCGCCCGCGTGGGCCGACGCCCTGCAGCATTCAGGGCGTCGGGCTACGCAGGAGCCCTGATCGATGACAGGTCGATCCTCACGAAGACTTCCCAGCCGTAGTTCAGCTTCGGGCGCGGCGAGACGCCCACCTTCCAGTAGAGCACAGTAGACTTGAAACTGAAAATAGGATTAGAGTAGAGTAGAACATGATATACTAGAATAGAGTAGACTGGAAACCGAATAGAATAGGAGTAGGCTGGAAACGAATAGAGCAGAGCAGCGGTAATCGTTGATGAGCCACCTTCCAGACCATGCCGTTCGCGTCCTCGAGCACCTTGCAATCGGGCCTGGCACGTGCAACCCGCGCGTGGCACTCTTGGAGGGGGGTGATGCTTGTCTTGTCAGTGTCGGCCATCTTGTCTGCGCTCTCTGCGGTGGCCCTCGCCTTCTTGGCTGGCGGCGGCGTGGCAAGGTGCTCGTATTTGTCCTCGTCATCATCGTCTTTCCTCTCAGGTGGCTTTGCCTTTGCCTTGCCCTTGGCCTTTGGCCTGCCCTTTCCTGCCTTCGGCTTGCTATCCCCATCCTTGCGGGCGCCCGCGGGCGTCGCCTTCGGCCGCTGCTCCGCCTCCCCCTCGCTGCCCTCTTCCTCGTCGCCCAGCGCGGTCTCCTGTGGCGCGGCGGCGCTGGCGATGGCACCTTGATGGATCTTCTTCTTGTGATGCTTGCCTTTGCCGCTGCCCTTCTTCTGCTCTCCCATCTGCTCGCCCTCGGCTGCTGCGGTGGAGTCGATCCTTCCTTTCTTCGCTGGTTCCCAGCTCTCGACTGGCTTGCTGCACTGCTTTCGCTTGCCCTGCGCGATGCTGGCTGTCTTCTGCGGATCCTGGCCCTCGGCGCCCTGCTGCTGCGCGGTCTCCCTGGCCCCCTTGGCCTGCGCGGCGTCGATGGCCTTCTTGGCCTTGGCCTGCTCGAGCTTCTCGGCCTCTCGGGCCAGAGGAACAGAGAGCACAGATCTTGAGAGATTGAGACCGAGAGAAGTAGGAGAGGAGAGGTGGGGCGAAGAGAAGAAATATGATATAAAAAAAAGAAAAAACGCAGAGAGAGGCGCGCTCGGCGCACGCAAGGGCCACGGCGGGCGCGCGAAGGCTGAGCGGGGCCCGGAGGAACATCTATATATAGAGAGAGAGAGAGGAGGAGGAGGGTGAATATATATATATATATATATAGAGAGAGAGAGGCTGATATAGGCATCGAGATAGAGCAGAGGAGGTGAGAGGGAGAGAGAGAGAGAGAGAGAGAGAGAGAGAGAGAGAGAGAGAGAGAGAGAGAGAGAGAGAGAGAGAGAGAGAGGGAGAGAAAGAGCGAGTAGGAGAGAGGGGGCGAGGAGGAGGAGGAGGAGCGAGGAAGAGAGGAAGAGCGAAAGAGACAGAGAGAGAGAGAGAGAGAGAAAGAAAAACAAATAAAAGAATATGACTGCGAACTCATCGGGAGGAAGGCATCAGGGAGATCGAAATTCGAAAGAAAGGGGGGGGGAAGCTGGCAAACGGGACAGGTGACAAAGCGAAGGAGGGAGAGAGGGCGATACGAAGATGGAGCGAGCGCGATAAGGGGGAGAACGAAGAGGAGCGAGAAGGGGCAAGAGGGCGATAGACAGGGGAGAGACAGAGAGTGAGAGAGAGGGAAGAGAAAAAAACATCAAACAACAAAAAAAAAACAAACCTTCGGAAAGGACCCCGCCGCCCCTCAAGCTAGATCGAAGGCCCTTGAAGGCCATGCGGCCAGGACGGCCCCGAGATGAGCCCAAGACGATGCCTCGCGGATTTCCCGATCGGTTTCTGGGGCCCCCCAAAAGGTTCGGGCCCGCGCCTTCGCCCTCTGCGCCGGGGAGACCGCGCTCTCGTAGTCGATGCTGCTGTAGTATGTGTCGCCGTCGCTCCAGCAGAATATTCCATTGCCTGTCTGCTTGCCTCTCACGCAATATGTTGCCATAGTCTGGTCGGATTGCCTTACGACCCACGTGCTATCGTTGACCGTCTTGAACTGCTGTGGGCCTTCCTCTAGTATGTTGATCTCTCTGTCATCATCGGCCTTGTCGCTGCTGTCGTCGTCGTTGCTGATGTTGTCGTCGTCCTGGGCCTGCTTGTCGCTGATCGGGGTGGCCTTGTCGCTGATCGGGGGGGCGGGGCCAGCTGGCTTGCCTGATCGAGGCCGATTCCGCCCGGTGCCAGCAGGAGAATATGACGTCTCGGCGAGGCCGTGGAACTTCAGACCTGGGGGATCGCAGACGGTCATTTCTAGAGATCGAATGCGACCCCCCGATCTAAAGTTCCCCGGCCTCGCCGAAACGCGACACACCTGAGGGCGCTTGGAATCGACCGCGGGCCTGCGAGGCTGTCTTCGTCTGATGCCGAGAGAAGCGAGTCGTCTTCGTCGTCTGACTGGAGGAACATGCCCCTGGCCTTCGCTGCGAAGTTGTCCGGCGCAGCCTGGCTGGCGGAGAAAAAAACAAAAAAAGGAAGCCAGAGCAGGAGGGGGAGCAGGATGAGCTAGGAGGAGGAGGAGGAGGAGGACCGTAGGAATAGCGGAGGAGGAGGAGGAGGAAGGCAGGGAGAGGAGGAGGAGGAAGAGCAGGAGCAGCAGCAGGAGGATCAGAAGGATACGATGGAGAGGAGGAGAACTCGGGGGAAGCTAGGAGGGGGGAGCAGGATAGGCAGAGGAGGGGGCGGGAGGAGGAGGATAAGCTGGGAGGAGGAGGATCAGAACAGCAGAAGAGGGCGCAGCGAGGGGCAGCGAGGGGCAGGCGCCTGCTCTGCCACTAGCTCCTTGCTGTAGGGCTTGCTCATCTTCTTCTGCAGGCTCTCTGGGATCCAGTAGTTGTTCCCACTGGGGCGATGAGTAGAAATTTACAGGATTAGGGGGGGGGGTCAGGAGGAGAGCGAGGAGGAGGAAACTGTGGGTGATGAGTAGGAGCAGGGGCACATGGGAGGAGCTGAAGGAGGAGGCGGAGCGCTAGGAGTAGGAGGAGAAGGAGGAGGAGTAGGAGGAGGAGGGGGAGGAGCCAAACCGTGGAAGGATGATACGCTAGGTAGAGATGGGTGGCGCGGGGGATCAGTTAGCAGTAAGAGCAGGAGGGTGAGCCGGAGGAACACGGAGGTACTATTAGGAGGATAGTGGAGAATCGAGGAGACGAATGGGAGGAGGATAAGCAAACATGAAGTGAAGCAGGAAGAGCGGAGGAAGAAGGATGGGACCTGACGCCAGACCGAGTAGGAGAAGGATAGGAACCTATAAGGAGGTGGAGGAGAAGGCGGAGGAGGAGGAGGATCGGAGGTTGACGAGGAGAAGGAGGAGGAGCTAGGACAAGCAAAGGGACATGAGGAGGACATTATGGGTTGATTCCCGTGGGTCCTTAGGATGCGCCTCCACCCAGCCAGGAGCGTCTCTATTTTCTGCGCCTCGGCGCAGATTTTGCTCAGGGATGCCGTTCTGATCACCTCGGAGCGTGTCCAGTCCTCCGCCTATCCTGCTGTTTCTGCTCCTCCTTCTCCTTTTCCGCGAACCCTCTCGGTCCTCCTGCTTCTCCCCTCTAATCCTCCTGGTCCTCTCCTCCCTCCTATCTCCTCGAACCCTCTCGCTCCTCGATCGTCCTAGTCCCTCCTGCTCCTCTCCTCCCCTCTCGCTCCTATTATACGCCCCCTGATCCTGCTCCTCTCCTCCTCTCCTCCCCTCATATATAGCCTCTCCTCTCCTCTCCGCCCGTGCTGCTGCTCCTGCTCCTGCTCCGCCTCCTCTGCGTCGTCCTAGTCCATCCTGCTCCTGCTCCTCTCCTCTCCTCTCCGCTTCCTCTTCGTCGCCCTAGTCCCTCCTGCCCCTCTCCTCCTCTCCTCCCCTATCGCCTCTTGCACGCCGCTCTCGAGATCGTCTCTCTCGAACTTCATCGCTCCGTTCGACGCCCGGCCAAGGTGCAGCAAGCAGCACCACCAGTTCGTGTCGTTGATGTACTTTGCCAACCCTCTTGTGCGCCTGGAACCCTTTGAAGGGTTCCAGGCGCACAACGTGAAATCATCAGCCACCTGGGCGCGAAAACAACGCCCCGAGACAATGACGGCACCCCCCCATATTCATTAGGTTCGTTGTCATTGCCTTGGTGCGTTGTTTTCTAGAGGGCAGGGGAAGCTATAGAAGGAGGAGCAGGGGGGGGCCGAGCAGGGGGAGGGCGAGGGAAGGGGAGGCGGAGGAGGAGAGGATGAGGAGGGGGAGGGAATAGGTGGAGATGGAGCTATGATATGAGGGGGAGCGGGGGAGGACGAGGAGGAGGAGGAGTCGAGGAGGGGGAGGTGGGAGAACACGGGTAAGGGGGGCCAGCGCAGACCTTCAAAGTCCGCAGTGCGTGGGCAACGCTGACAGCCAGCGTCATTGCGGCTAGCCCCTGCCGCGCACGCGCCGCAGCTAGCCCCTGCCGCGGCTTTGCGGGGCCGCCGCTCGGGGCCCTCTCGCCCCGAGGAGGGCGAGAGGGATAAATGAGAGGAGAGGAGAGAAAAGCAGCGGCGGCAATAACAGCAGGATTCGGAGGGTGATGCAATAGTTATGGGAACAGATCAGCAGACGACCAGCAAACGCATCAGGCGTGCACCCCCCATGCAATGCCCCCGCGGTCCCTAATACTCTAGCTAGCGACCCATCCATCGTGACCACCACGACCGCGCCAACACCCACCTCAAAACAACACCCCGCATGCCATGCCACCTGGCAGCCTGCTGCGCGCGCTTTACCCAACCTGCGTAAACCAACTAAGCGATGGAACCACCAGTTAGCAACGCACCAGGCACAGCAGCAGCACCAAATCTAGCAAATAATTTAACCAACCAGCCGATCAACCAACACCCGCCGATCGATTGAATAATCATAGCAATGATAAGGGCAATAATAATACGAGAAATATATTCATAATAGTACTGTTATTACACATACTTAACATACTGATACTAATAGTATTACAACTAGTAATCATACAAGCACAATTCAAACGAAAAGAAGACAAACAGGGACACGAAGGACATTCAAGGACATCTAGGGACAACTAGAGACATTTAAATACATATACGGACAAATGAGGACGCTATCTACCTTCCACACCAGCCGCGCGGATAGTATGGAAGGTGGGGGCCCTGGGAGTCCCCTTGCTCCAGTCCTCCTGCCCTGGCCCTGGACCCAGCCTCCCTCCTTGGCTCTGGCGCCCCCCCCTCGCCCCAGACCCTTGATTTTCGTGGTTTGTCGTCGTCCCCCTGGCTCTGGCCTGCTTCCCCTGGCCCCCTCGCACCCGTCCTCCTGCCCTGGCCCTGAACCCAGCCTCCCTCCTTGGCTCTGGCGTCCCCTGGCCCTGGCCCCAGCCCCCCCTCGCCCCAGACCCTTTATTTTCGTGGTTCGTCGTCGTCCGCCTGGCTCCGGCCTGCTTCCCCTGGCCCCGTCGCCCCCGTCTTCCTGCTCTGGCCCTGAACCCAGCCTCCCTCCTTGGCTTTGGCGCCCCCCCTCGCCCCGGTCCTTTTATTTTCGTCCTTCGTCGTCGTCCCCCTGGCGCTGGCTTTGGCCTGCTTCCCCTGGTCCCCTGGCCCCCGTCCTCCTGCCCTGGCCCTGAACCCAGCCTCCCTCCTTGGCTCTGGCGTCTCCTGGCCCTGGCCCCCGTCCCCCTGGCTGTGGCCCGCCCCCCCTCGCCCCCTCGCCCCAACCCGGACCTCTGGCCTCTGGTCCGAGCCCCAGCCTTCTGGCCCTGGCTGAACTCAGCTTGTTTCCTGGCCTTGGCCCCGCTCGCCCCGACCCTGGCCTTCGCCCCAGCCTTCCTCGCCCCGGACCGTGTATTTTCGTGGTTCGAACCCGGACCTCTGGCCCCTGGTCCGAGCTTCAGTCCCCCTGCCCTGGCCCTGAACCCCCACCCGCCCCGACCCTGGCCTTGGCCCCAGCCCTCCTCGCCTCGGACCCTTTATT